ATAATTGCCTATGCTTATTTCACTATAATAGCTTGTATTAGTGCAAAAAGATGATGGAAATAAGAGGAAAAGAACAACTTTAGCAAAAAAGGAAAATTTTAAACAGACTAGATTCTGCTGAAATTTCATTGTAACTCATGGTGGAGTTCAATAAATGAAAGTAAATATTGTATGATATAAACTCTTTCAAAGAAACTATTCTCCAGCGTTCACACCGTCAAAATAAATAAGGAAATAGAAAAAAAACATTGTGATTATACTTGGACTGAAATTGTAAAAGCAATTGAAATGGTTGTCAGTTTTATGGAAAGAAAACCAGCATTCAGCTATGATAATTGCAATAACGCACGCAGAGTTAAAAATGTCTTTCGTTTTAAAAAAATCAAGAACAAAAGTAAAAGAAATGCGGTAAAAGTTGAGAATGACATTAGAAGAGAAAGAATCATCATGCAACAGCGATTAAAAAATCTTCGTTACATTATTTGTTTTGCATACGTGGCATACTTAATTTAAGGAATTTTCATTAACATCAAATAATTTATTTTTTTCTCTTAAAATCAATTTCGTTATATTTAACTCACCATTACCTTATTTTGTTTACTGTAAAACATTGAATATGAATCTTAAACCAGATTTCAGTTGTTTTTTTTTAATTTTAATCTAACCAATTAACAATTAACAATGGGTTTTTTTAATTTTAATCTAACCAATTAACAATTAACAATTAATTTAACCACTCATATCCGGACGTTTTAATCAATTCCTTATACCCGGAAGGCTTTCTTAGTCTGGTTGTCAGGAATTCTAATGTATTAAGATTATTTCATTTTTTTTTCTCTTCAATTCACGTCAGGATAACTGAAGATCGTGAATCCAGATACGGTTAATCGATTACACGAACAGCACAATGTATTGAGTGGACGGAAAACAATGGAGAATGTAATTGTTAGGAATGGACAAAAATGCTACACGATTTGGCAATGTATAGATGACAGCTCTTGGTTTATTTAGAATGACAGCAGGAGTGTGGTGAAAACGAAATGAAAAGCACATCTTGTTTTAAAAGCGAATGTATTTTCCTACCCCCCCACTCTGTTCTGAATTGCTGCCAGATGTGGTCACAGTACCTGTGTAATATAAACAATTTTAAAACAGCTGGCGAGAATCTGCGAGAATCCATCAGGACATATAAAAAGTACTATTTTCTTTTTCTGTGGTTGGTATTTTTCTCTGTTTTGTTGGCCGTCAAAAAGGCAGGGAAACATGGTCGAAAAAGAAAAGAGGTTTTCTTTCTTTCAAAGGACACGTTTGTTCTGATTACAGTCATCTGACCACTTCAAACATACTGATTTTTAACACATCAAACTAGGCAATAAAACCGGTGGGTCAAGAAAAAGACGTAGAAAACGTTCTCTAAACTTATAAACTTTATCTATCTATCTATCTATATATATATATATATATATATATATATTTTCTATCTATCTATCTATCTATATATATATATATATATATATATATATATATATATATATATAGATAGATGATAGATAGATAGATAGATAGATAATATTAGTGGAAAATATGCATACATATAGAAATATAGGTCATTGCTGTGAAGGTTTTCTTTTTGAATTTGTAGGTCTGATGAATTGGATCGTATTTACGATTCCAATGGAATAAATTATGACCATGGAATGTTAGTGTTTAAGCCTTTTACTATATATATATATATATATATATATATATATATATATAAATGAAAAAATCGAGAAATATCCTTCATATCTCAATGCTGGCAGCCGCTAAAAAGTGTACAGACTGATCCGTCTACGAAACTCTGGAGTCAAGATGCTGAAGGCAACATCAATCAGCTTAGTAGCAACTTTTTACTTATATTAATTCCCTCTCTTTCTCTCTCTCTCTGTCTATCTCTCTCTCTCTATATATATATATATATATATAAATATATGTATATATATACTAACGATAATAGCTAAAGGTAAAATTAAGTTAAAACGTTCAAATATAAAATAAACTGAGGGATCCATGCTAATGTCGACTTGACTTCAATATATCTGATCCAATATTATTCCCCACTGATATATATATATATATATATATATATATATATATATATATATATATATATATATATATTAAGAAATGGACAAAGACCGACAATTTATTTATTAAAGACATTTTTATGTTTAACGTTATTTTTTTTATAGATACAAGTATTACAAATGTAAACATAAAAATGTCTTTAATAAATAAATTGTCGGATTTTGTCCATTTCTTAATATATGACGTCATTTGTTTACATTCGATACGCCAGAGCAGTTATGAATGTACGAGATTCATGGAAGATTGAAGTTTATAAGCAGTAAATTCGACCTTGCCTACCGAACGCTCCTTTGTGGCCGAGAGGTTAGGCACGTCAGCGTAAATGACGGTTCCGTATAGGATGCAGGTTCGAATCCTGTCAAAGGACGAATATATTCTATGAAAATTTCTCGGACATTCAGGCCGGTAAATGTTATTTCATACTGTTTTTTATAAACAGAGCATTTACTTAAATATTTGTATCTATAAAAAAAAGAACGTTAAACATAAAAATGTCTTTAATATATATCCTCGACTCTCCCGTCAAATTCGACGTATGAGAGTCAAGCATATCAGTGCATGAGATTTAGTTATAGTGGTGAAGGTTTTGTGAAGAACCACCCACACTTTTTGAAGGATCTAATGCAGAGACCTTGTGCCCTACATGCGATAAGGCCCCCAAACGACCATCCACAAGTTTTGAATTCAGAGTTGTCCTTCTCATAGAACATTTTCCATCCAAGGCTATATAGAACCCAGTCTGTCTTACTATTTATCCATAGGCGTAGGAAGAAGAGGATTCATACCTTTCCCAATGATATTAGCACGTATATATATATATATATATATATATATATATATATATATATATATATGTGTGTCTGAACCAGCTGGGTGTCTTCCAAAAAATGATTTCCATGTAATCTGTTTTTATGTTTTTGTCGATATCCAACACTGGTAGAATTGAGACTTTCCTGGTGCAGTTACAACTTCATTGAACTGGTCATTTTGCAGGGATGAGTGACAACCGAATATCTAAGGTCCTCATGTATAGGCAGCTCAACAGTGGACAAATAGTGTAAGAGCAAGATTGTCCAAATCATGTAAGTGCATAATTGTCTAATTAAATTTCCTGTTTCCAGATTTTCAGGTATGACGTTTAGCCATCTTGACACCACTTGTCTTAAGAACCACTGAAAAACCTTTTGAGTTATTCAGCTGGAAATAGAACAGGATAAAAATGTTTGGTGCCCGCCCCACTGTCTTCCCAAACTTGCAATGGTGAGAGGAAAAAGATCATTCAAACCTTCCGTGTTTTTACTAGCATTCATACTCTGGCTTCCATCTTCAAAGTCTGTTAAAGAACCATCACGAGAACGGTGAATAAGTTTTTACAAGAGGAAACAGTAGAGAGGAAAAGTTCATCAGGATGTCACAACAGGAAGAGGTATCATCATGTCAACTTAGGCCTAAAGAGATCAAATAGAAAAGATACAATTCAATCCATAAGACGTTTATCACGTGAGAGAGAAGTTTCAGCTATGACAGCCGAAAGTGCAGTGAAAAAAAGAATTGAAAATGAAATTGTACATGAAATCTGTGAAGCAAATTTTTTCTCCAGGACAGAAAGTTAGATGGTTAGAAAGGGCAAAGATCATCTTGAATAACATGGAAAGTGATCCTGGGATAATATATATATATATATATATATATATATATATATATATATATATATATATATTATTTCAGTCCTTCATGTGCTTATGATCCTTAGCTATGATTAATTAATGATGAAAACGTCATGAAGATTCTTCTGTTAAACTTGGAGTGTAATTATACATTCTTACAGCTTAAAGTAGAGTTCAGTAGTGTTATAAAAACCTCGGAGAATTCCAGTAAAATATCTTTAATAATTTCTAAGGTACAACGGTTCAGACCTTAATCTAACAAATGGACAATTTTGCTTTTACACGATGTGGACAATTTTGCTGTTACTCCGATATATATATATATATATATATATATATATATGTCTGTGTGTGTGTGTGTGTGCGATGGAGAATAGTAACGGAAACCAAACTGGAGATAATAGAACAACTAAATATTATCTGTGACTGGGATAAGAACTAGGTTAATTAAAAGATGGCTGTAATATAATAATAATAATAATGAGAAAAACTAGGACCACGATATATATATATATATATATATATATATATATATATATATATATATATATATATATATATATATTGTCTGATATTGGTTGCAAAAGAAAAAGAAGATTGATTTGTTTTTTACAGCTTATACACCTTTTATTGCGGGTTATTTAAAGCCAGAAAATACTTTTATATTCTTAAAATGTTTTGGAGATAATAATTTACCGACTTATTATTTAATTCGTATCTGGAAGTGAAAAGGTTGATTCTCATATTTCCAAAGGGTATTTGCTCGTAAGTGAATATACCGAAACCAACCGACATTCGAACTCGGCTCTGCGATTTCCTCTTCCGAGGCTTTATCTATAGTACCACCCTCACATCCAAGATTACAGCACATGGTAATCGCAAGCTCTCAGCCATTTAGGTACTTACTCGGTTCGTCGTTGCTTAAATTGGTGATCGTGGAGAACCAGTGTTTCAGTGTAATGTAATTGTAAGCTAATAAGAAAAGGAAGAAATCCCGAGAGAAATAGAAACAGCAGATAACCTCAAATAAACCGAAAAATAGTAAAAAAAATAGAAAAGGCGGCAAAATGAGAACGCGGGCTTAATGAAAGCCATGGAGATGTCACGAACTGAACACGTGGACATAAACGGAAGAGTGCTGTTCAGAAGATGGAAAAGGGACAAGGATGAAAAGGCCAATGGAGGAAAAGAAAAGGCCCGACTGCCTTATAGAGGGAGAACGTAAAGAAACGAAAGAAAAGGAAAAGGAAAATAATGATAGAAGAAGAAGAAAGAAGAAGAAGAAGAAGAAAGAAGAAGAAGAGGAGGAAATATGAGGAGGCTGAGAAAGATACTTAAAGGAGAATTGGAAGGAAGGTTGCAGATAAAGAAAATTGAAGAAAACCGTTGAGAAAAACTGAAGGAAAATAACTGAGGTTTCAAGGAAGTGCAGAAAGATAAAAAGTGTGGAATAATAATAATAATAATAATAATAATAATAATAATAGTAGTATAGTAGTAGTAGTAGTAGCAGTAGTAATAGTAGTAGTAGTAGTAGTAATAATAATATGATGATGATGATGATGATGATGAAATAGAAGAAAAAGAACACTAAAAGAACAAGAAGCAGTAGTGGAAGATATAGAAGATCGTTTTAGCAGTGAAGAAAGTAAACTTGGAATTCGAAAGACGAAGAATTCGAAGGCCGAAGATGAAATAAATTACTACTAATGCTATTAATAATACTGTTTCTAATTCTAGTAATAATATGAGAAGAAGAAGAAGAAGAAGAAGAAGAAGGAGGAGGAGAAGAAGAAGAAGAAGAAGAAGGATGAACAAATTAACCGGAAGAAAAAAGCGAATAAACCAGGAACAGAAAGTAGAATAATAATAATAATAATAATAATAATAATAATTAAAAAAGTAAAATCTAGAAGATGAAGAAGAAATGTAGAGTAACAGCAGCAGTAAAAAAAGAAGAAGAAGAAGAAGAATGAAGAAATTAACCAGAAGGAAAACGCGAATAAACCAGGGATAGAAAAATAGCAACAATAATAATAAAAATTAAAAAGAGTAAAAGCAAGATGACGAAGAAGAAAAATAGAGAAGCAGCAACAGAAGAAGATGAAGAAGAAGAAGAAGAAGGGGGATGAGAAGAAGAAAAAGAAGAAGGGGAGGAGGAGGAGGAGAAGAAGAAGTAGAAGAAGAAGGAGAATGAGAAGGAGGAGAAAAGGAAGAAGAAAAACAGACGAGAAGGTGGACATTCGTTTCTGTATTAATACAGTCAAAGGCAGGAGATAAAGAAGAAGAGGAAAAGGAAGAAAAAAAAGAGGAGGATGAGGAAAAAAAGAAGAAGCAAAAGGAGTAGGAGGCGAAAAATAGAAGTACTGTTTTCTGTTCCTGCATTAATCCGCATAGACTTGAGAAGAAGAAGAAGAAGAAGAAGAAGGGGGATGAGAAGAAGAAAAAGAAGAAGGGGAGGAGGAGGAGGAGAAGAAGAAGTAGAAGAAGAAGAAGAAGAAGAAGAAGACGATGATGATGATGAAGAAGAAGTAGAAGAAGAAGAAGGAGAAAGAGAAGAAGGAGAATGGGAAGGAAGAGAAAAAGAAAGAAGAAAGGCGAGGTGGACGTTCGTTTCTGTATTAATACTGTCATAGACAGGAGATAAAGAAGAAGAGGAAAAGGAAGAAAAAAGAGAAGGAAGAAGAAGAAGGGGGAGGAGGAGAAGAAGAAGAAGAAGAAGAAATAAAAATGGAAAAAGATGGTAACTGTGGAGAAAGAGTATTAGAGAAGATGGAGAAGAAGATTGCAGATAATGAAAATGAGAAGCTAAGAGAATACATCAAGGAGAAAATATTGAAGAAGAGAAATCAATAACATACTAAGATTTGAAGAAAGTGGAGATGAATGATAAAAATATAGAATAAAGAAGAAAACTGAGGCTGCAAAATCTTAGCACCAATTACAACATTAGCAATAATCCTGACATCTTTCATGCTGATATTGATGCGTAAACATGAGCACAGAAAAATAAAAAAACAAGAAAATACCTTACCTTTAGATTATTATAGCCTATAAATACACTGTGAATACAAATGACTGGGGTCTCATTACTAATGCACTGGTAGCCCTCCGTAAAGGCTATCCGCACTAAAGCCACTAATCTTGGGCATGTTTCCGTTTGATTACAAGCTGGCAAACAAAAGGCAACCCTTTCATTAAAATCAGCGTCCTGCACTTTTGCTTGGTCAGCGTCTCAAAGGAATGAAAGACCAAGCAGCATGTGTTCCGAAATTCTTTGGAAATTCCGGCGAATGACGCAGAAAATAGATCGAATAAATGTGCCAGTCAGGTTGATTGAGATAAAAAACAAAATGAAGGGGGAAAAAAAAAAGAATATAATTTCACGATTATTATAAGATTGTAAGATCAATATTTTAACGGTATATGCGTCCGTGTGTACATAGATAGGGAGAGAGAGAGAGAGAGAGAGAGAGAGAAAGACAGAGAGAGGGGGACTGGCAGGCAGATATCTAAACAGATACCAATAGAGAGAGAGGAGGAAAGAGAGCGAGTGAAAGAAAGAGTGAAGAGAGCGTGAGAGAAATAAAGAAAGAGAGAGAACGACAGATAGATAGATAGATAGATAGATAGATAGATAGATAGATATGGATTACGTTATATATATATATATATATATATATATATATATATATATATATATATATATATATTCCCAATCCTATGAAAAATTGTTTCAGATGAATTAAAATAAAGGAAACTAATACAAAAACGAACTTGATTTCTTTTCAAAATTACAAGGCCTTATTCATCGATAAATTTTCCAATCTTATATATATATAGAAGTTTTTGCTGCTACATCTGGTCTAGTGACCCTTCTGTATATTTAGAGGTTCTTGATAAAATCCAAAGAGTCTGTAATTTTATTGGTCATGACCTGGCATCTCGATTTCACTCCATTTCCAACCCCCGTTATTGTGTTACCCTGTGCCTTTTTCTTTAAACACTTTCAGGGTAATTGTTCCGGTGAAGTTTTCTCTTTGGTACCTCTAATTTATGACTTTAAAAGCAGTACTAGATTGGCGGTAAGGTCCCATCATTTTGCAGTTGAAATGGCTAGATGTAACCGTAAGTTATATGTTAACCGTTTTTTTTTTGTTTTTTTTTTTTGTACTTATTGTTTGGGGAACATTCTCCCGGCCTCTTGCTTGCCAGTCAACGTTGATCTTCAAAAGTGAAATGCAATGCCAATAATTCATCCTGTTCTTGTATTGTTCTAGCCCTTTAAGAGGGTGTTTTTACTCATATTCTCTAACACTCAGTACCCCCTCGCGTGTTAGTGGCTACATAGCCTTAATAGAGATGAAATGATTAAAAAATAGTAATTAGATGTGGTGTCATTTGAGAAGAGCGGGTACTTAAAGCGACAAATACAGTTGGACATAGGGATAACAATTTTAACCCGGAAAATTTAACTGCTACGTAACCTCACAACTATATATATATATATATATATATATATATATATATATATATATATATATATATATGGGGTGTAATCATGGCCGAATTAAGTCTGACAATTATTTAATATTTTTTCTGTTTATACTTTATTTTAATAGATACCATTTATATAAATAAATACTGTTTTTCAATTAAAACAATATTATTTACATTTATCGGCATGGATGTTCGAGAAATTTCGTGGAAAATATGGGTTCTCCAACAGGAATCGAACCACTGTCCTATACGGAACCGTCATTTGATCTGACGTGCTATACCACTTAGCTATAGAGAAGAGTCTGGTTAGCTAGTTTCAATTTAATCATTGTTTATTCAGCCACAGGGAACTTTCCGGTGAGCAATGCCCAAAATACTGCTGAATGTCTAAAGAGCACGTCAGTCTATATGACGGTTTCTGTATGAGATACGGGTTCGATTCCTGTCGGAGAACGCATCTTTTCTACGAAATTTTTTGAACATTCAGGTCGGTAAATCTAATTAATACTGTTTAAATGAAACAAAGCGTTTAATCAAATAAGTTGTATTCGTAAAAATAACGTATAAGCAGGAAATATATTAAATATTTGGCGGCTTGGATCTATTTCATCTAACATATATATAGCGGCTTCAACTGAGGAATCCGAGACCAAGCACAAATTCCAGTCGAAGCTATTACATTTACTTACGTTGGGATAGGCGTGAATCCTCTTCTCCCTGCAGCTATGGGTAAATAGCAGGACAGACTGGGTTCTATAGCCTTGGATGGCAACTGGTCTAGGAGAAGGACAATTCTGAATTCATAACCTGTGAAGTGCCGTTTGGGGACCTTGTGGCACGTAGTGCACCAGGTCTCTCTATTCGGCCCTTCAAAAAAGTGAGGTTGGTTCTGAACAAAGCCTTCTTCACTATAATCAAATCATATGTACAGATGTCTGGGCTGCCGGTTCCAAGTAACTGAGCTGCTTGACCCTCATACGACGGGAGAATCCAGCATATACACACACACACACATATATATATATATATATATATATATATATATAACAGCAATAAATATTCGCTACACAACCCAGCAGTGAATACAGCGACCAAATGCGTACGTATGTACGCAACGACACATCTGTTTGCCTCGGGGTTCTTGATAAGATCCAGAGACGGATATGCAATATAATTGGCCCTGATCTGGCATCTCGTCTGCAGTTGCTCTATCACAGACGTGCCGTCGCCTCTCTCTGTCTTTTTTACAAATACTTTCATGGAAATTGCTCCGGTGAGCTGCTTTCACTGGTTCCCAGACTTCGCGAATTCAAGCGTCCTACGAGGCTGGCATCCCGCTCTCACCCTTTCACTGTTGAAACTCTTAAATGTAGCCGTCTCTTCTACTCCAATAGATTCATATCTCGCACCTCGCGCCTTTCCTCTATCACTGATATCTGCTCTCGCTCCAAATCCTCTGTAACCCCTTGCCTGCTAGTGGCTTCCCCTTTGCTAGGGGTGAAATGCTTATATATATATATATATATATATATATATATATATATAGATAGATAGATAGATAGATAGATAGATATAGATATAGATATGTCTGAGATGAGGTATTATGTACATTATTTACATTATTCTGACTATTGTCCTCATCTTTCGCCATATTTATTACAACGTTGAGGACACACGGCACAGTGGATAAAGGCGTTGGTTAGATCCAGTGACAGGACCCAAAGAGTTTCAGTTCAATACCCGGTTAAGGCAGTGGAGAACTTTCAGAAGGAAATTAACAGGAGATAACTGATAACTGACATCCATTAAACATGGCACGTGGAACTAGAACAGTCTACCCCAGTGAGCGAAATAAAGGGTTAAATTCGACATTCCAACCACCTGAAGAAGGCTGGAGCGTACAACGGCCGAAACGTTGTAATAAATATGGCGACAAAGATGAGGACAATAGTCCGAATAATGTAAATAATATATATACACACACACACACATATATATATATATATATATATATATATATATATATATATATATATATATATATATATATATATATATATATATATATCAAAACAATATTGACACATAACAATACTTAAGTAAGTATGCAGCAGAATCTTGAAACCCTCTCATTTCTGTAGATTCCATGAATAGTTCGAGAGAGAATTCCAAAGAATTTAGACAGCATGTTCAAACCATTCCATATAAAGGTATTTAGAATTCCTCGCCAGATATTTAACTGATCTTACCATATAAAGATTTTATTTTAATATTTTTCATCATTGCACGCTCCATAATCACGTGTTTGTTTTCTGCTCTTTGGTTTCAATTTGTTTTTTAAAAAATAAATGCCTTATTTAAGGCAGTCCTGAGTCATCAAAAATTATCCATTATTCCACTGTCTTGCGAGACGAAAAATAAAGATGGCGGAAGCTTCCAGAAGTTATCTCCCCTTCATGCGCTGTCCACTGAAAAGATTTATTGGTTAACGTGTAAAAATAATACAGGAAAGGCTAGAAGAGCATCGTGATTACCTCCCTTTCAAACGCAAACAATAAAAAAAAGAAGTGAATCAAACATCAGTCCAGGCTCTCATCAGAGAAAATAGAAAATCAGGCATCGTGTATATCAGTACTTTTTTTTTCTTTTCTTCTTTTTCAAAATCTGTGGCATGTGCGCTGAATCATGAGTTAACATGACCTGACGAATTCTTCCCGCCAAAAGAGTTTAACGGTTGGAGCTATCCAAACTGTCCTTATTAAAACACTTATTGTCTGGTCGGTGTGTTAGGGGCTGAGGTAAGGCTTTTAAAACAACTCAGTGACAGTGAACTGCCGCGTAGAGAATTGTAGATGAGTGAATCGAGAAGTTTAAAAGTTGCCGGACAAGAATAACGCAAGAAATAGGAACAGGACACTCGTCAACCCCCATCACTGACGATTCAGCAAGAGAGATGGTAATGGTGAACGAGCGAGATTTTATCGGCGAGTGATCATGTGATCAGAAGAGTCGGTTCACTGCTCTTTGTTTCCTTTCGATGTATACTGCTAACGAAGCGGCCATGTTTACACTGTAACAGCGGCAAGAAAACTGGCGCGATCAAACTCAGTCTTCGATCACGTGGTCACAATAGTAACAGAAAGAAGCGCGCATGGGCAAGAGGTAGAGTGAGAAAGCTTAAGAATGTTATGACGAAAGTGCAGATAATTTTTACTTATCCTCACATATATGTATATAGATGACGATTGCGTCTAGCATGAAACAGACTCTCGCCTCTAAGTGTTGACTTCTATGTTGACTTTTATATTTACACACGCTCTATCTCTGATATTGAGCGATTTATCCCATAAATATAGCACACCCTAAGGATATATAAAGTTTAAAGACAGCAAAATCGACCTTGCTAACCGAACGCTCCACTGTGGTCGAAACGGTTAAGGCATATCAGGCTATATGACGGTTCCGTATAGGATACTGGTTCGATTCCTGTCGGAGGACGAAAATTTTCTATGAAAATTTCTCGAACATTGAGCCCGGTAAATGTTGTTTAATACTGTTTATTATAAAAAACAGTCCATTTACTTAAATATTTTCATCTATAAAAAGAATGTATAAACATAAAAATGTCTTAAAATAAATATATATATATATATATATATATATATATATATGTGTGTGTGTTATGATTGTCACATTTTTGCAGAAGACCATCTCTTCATTTAGTAGCTTTTTTCATTAAGAATTTTAACTTAGTTATCATTTATGCCCGAGCTAACACCCTGATATGGGCCCGTAAGTAATTCTTAAGGCCAGCTTCACTTTTACAACCTCTCTCACACACGTGGCAAACATGAGGTTTGGCTGTGTTGACAGTGTTGGAAACTTGCCATTTACTATCTACAAACATATGACGTTTCAGTCCAGGCAAGACTGCACACTTCGCCATGCATCCATCGCCATGGGTCTTGTGAAGAGATATCTGCGCAAATAGATGACAATTCTAAATGCCTGT